TCTTGCTGAGACTGGGGATTAGCTTGGTTGGTAGAATGCTTGCCACAAACACAAAGCATTGGGCTCAGTCCTTTACATGGCATAAAGCAGGTGTGTTGTTATGTGCCTGTAATCCCAGCACTCTGGAGATAGAGGCAGAAAGATCACAAATGCATAGCCATACTGTTAGGGCCAGCCTGGACCAAAATAAACAAAGGATATCCATATGGAATTAAATTGTGATGGTTGCTTCCATTAGCTACTTTTGATTTGGAAGTGCTGCTGATCACATCTGATTGACCACCCCTCCCTCAGTTTGTAAGGTAATAGTTTGTCCTCCACTGGTCTCCAGTGCTTTCACGCAGGGCGCTGACTCCCATTATGATGGCACTGACAGCAAGGCTTTTGTGTGTTCACCCCACAGAGAATGATCATAGGAGAACATCAGCCCTGAGTCTATCAGGCATGTGCTTGGGGGTTCAAACACTGAATGTTTTCGCTGTGGTTTGGGCAGAGCCTTTCTCACTCATCCTGCCTGGTCCTAAACTCACTACATGTACCAGGCTAACTTCAGTTCTGAGGCAATCCTCCTGCTTCAGTCATCTGAGCCCTGGCCCCAGGAATGGGCTGTCAGGTCAGGCTTGAGATAGGAGCTGCACCTTCTACTGGAGAAGTTCAGCCAGGTCTAAGATGGCCTCAGGAGAAGAGGATGCCTTTGTGTACAGTGTTTCCAAAGGACTGGCTGACAACTTTGTACCTTCTTGACATTCTTGGTTACTAAGTCCAAAATGAAAGTTGCAAGTTTCTGATTTCCCAGAAGCACATACTTGCTTAACAGGTTTTAGATGGTAAGACTTTACTCATTGGCTTTAGTTCACTTTATTCTGTTAGGTTTCTTCTAAGGGGCTTTAGTTACTGTTTGCTTGCCATTTTCTGGATCCTATTCCCCACTGACCTCTCAAGTTTGATTAGAATCTGCTAAAGAGGGTGCCTTTGACAATGGATACTGTTGTAAAACTTTTATTTTTTTAAACAGATTTATTCTTATGTGTATATTTGTGTATGTGCACTTAAACACAGGTACCTTTGGAGGCCAAAAGAGGGCAGCAGATCTACTGGAGCTGGAGTTACAGGCGGTTCTGAATTGTCCAGTGTTGGTGTTGGGAAGAACAGAAAGTCCTCTCAACCTCTGAGACATATCATAGCCTTAAAACTTTTAATTTTTGAGCTGAGTGTGGACATGTGGTCACACATGCCTATAATCTCTGAATTTGGGAGACAGAGAGAGTAGGATCAGGAGTTCAAGGCTGGCCTTAGTTAAATGAGATTGTGGTCAGTCTTGACTACATGAGATCCTGTCTGCAGACACCAAAGCCAAACCAAAGCAAATGCTGTTTTTGAGAATCTCAGCCTTTTGGTGGGGTCATAACAATCACAGGGCAGTGCCAGCACCTGCGCTATAAAGCAAAGGCCAGACCTAGTGAGCAGCTGCAGTTTTAATGTGTACTAATGAAACCGTGCTTAGCACTGGAAATGCTGGCAAGCTAAATGCAGAAGTCACAAAGACACAGAAAGATAACCATTGAAAGTTAGAGCATGCAGGAGTCACTAAGAGATGAACCAAATATATAACTAAAGACAGACAATAGGGACTATTAGAGTGGGGACTGTTCATACAGTTTATGTAAGTGTTTTAATAATGTCCTTAATTTTTGTTTGTTTATTTTTCGAGACAGGGTTCCTCTGTGTAGTCCTGACTGTCCTGGAACTTACTTTGGAGACCAGGCTAGCATCAAACTCACAGAGATCTCCTGCCTGCCTCTGCCTCATGAGTGCTGAGGTTAAAGGCACATGCAACCATGCCCAGCTGTATGTCTTTAAATTAAAAAAGAAACAAAACACAGTTACTTTTATTTTGAGCTGGACTGATAGGTCAGTGGTTAAGATTACTAGTTCTCTTCCAGAGGACCTGGGTTCAGTCCCAGTCTCCACATGGTGGCTTAAAATGATCTGTCAGGCCAGTCTCAGCAGACCCCCTTCTGGCCTCCAAGGGCTCTCACTGGGTTACATGGTATGTGGACATAATGTGGGCACAACACCCATACATACACATGGCAAAGATTTATTTTTATTTTTAATTCTCTGTGTTTTGAGCATATGTGCAGTGGAGGAAGCTAGATAAGGGAGGATGAGGGGGGCTGAGGGAGGATGAGGGAGGCCCCTTGGGCCTGGAGTCGCAGACAGTAGGGAGTCATTGTGGGCGCAGGGGTCCAAACTCAAGTCCTTCCTAAGGGCAGTGTGCGTTCCTGACCACTGAGCCCTCTCGCCAGCCCCTTGATTAATATCTAAGACAAGTACATCAACACTTGGCATCTTATATTTCAAGATGTCGAGTTCATCTCTTAATCTTTATCTCAAAGAAACGCACACCTTGAGCTGGGGCTGTTGGCTGGGAGCAGAGTGCAAGGCCTGGGCTTACGCCCTATCACTGCAGTCAAAACAAAACAAAGCAAAGAGAAAATTGGGATTGGGGCGGTCGCTCTGTGGGTACAGAAAGCACTGGCTGTGTGAGCTGGAGGACCTGATGTCCAGCGCCCAGATGAAGCCTGGGTGGCTGTACCTCTCCTGCAGCTGGGGAGGGGGAGACAGAGGGCGGAGATCTCAATTTAGGGCCTCAGATTTGGTCAAGCAAGAACTTTTATCAACTGAGCCATCTCCCTAGCCTCTCCTAATCTTTTCTTCAAAAGATTTACTGTGGTTAAGTGAATGTAAGATAGTTCCGGGCATCCAGCGAGGTGACTGGCTGGCATGTCTGTGGGGGAGCACAGCCGTGGGGGAGGAGCTTCTCCACTCTGGGGCAAGGGGTCATTCCTCACTCTAAGAATGATAAAGGGAGAGGTGACCTGCAGTGTGACGGTGACACGCAGGTTCTTGGTTCAGCTGAGTCGGTACTTGTTAGCATTTGCTGTGGTTGAAGCTTTTGTCCTCCGCGTTCCGGTCTGTGTCCAGCGGCTGGTTTGTTTCTGTGATACCTGCTTGCATCTCGCACTTGTCAGACCTGTCTGTAGCCTGAGGAGCTGAGCAGTAGGGGTGGGGGTGGGGGGGTGGCGGTGGTGGTGGCGGCGGCGGCGGCTGCGGCAGGGGTGGTGGTGGGGGTGGTGGTGGTGTGTTTATTGTGAGCTTATTGTCCCGTTGTGAGTCAATGACTGACAGGGAACGCTGTGACTCACTTCATGTGCATCGCAGTCACTTGGTAACGAGTATTCAGAGAAGAAGGCAAGGTTATATGTTCTTTTTTTTAAATTTAATTTAATTAATTTAATGTGCCATAGTGTGAAGGCGTCAGATCCCTTGGAATTGGCGTTACAGACAGTTGTGAGCTGCCATGTGGGTGCTGGAAATTGAACCCAGGTCCTTTGGAAGAGCAGACAGTGCTCTTAACCACTGAGCCATCTCCCCAGTCCCGGAAGATTATATTTACATTTTGAGCACATAAAAGCTAGAAAACCATCCTGGGCATTCTGCTCTTGAAGCTTGTGATAAATTGGTGTCTTGGTGTATGTACCTTTTGTCTCTTTCTCCTAGTGAATGAAATAGACTTTTATTTTAGTTTCTTTATTTTTATCATTTTATCATTATTCTTTATTTTATCATATGTGTTTGAGTGTCTTGCATTCATATGTCCATGTAAACCACAAGTGTGCTTGGCCCTGTCCCCACAGGATGTAAGACCCCCTTGAGCTTGAGTTACAACTGATTGCTGAGAATCAAACTTTGGTTAAGTTCTGAGATGTGTGTCTTTAGCCTCTATCTAAAGTGACTACACAATGCCAGTTAAAATGACTTGTTTTGATGGGTGGCAGTGGCACACATCTTTAATCTCGGTGCTCAGGAGGCAGAGGCAGTCAGATGTCTTGGAGTTTAAGGCCAGCCTGGTCTACAGAGTGAGTTCCAGGATAGCCAGGGCCACACAGAGAAACCCTGTCTGGAAAAAACAAACAAACAAGCAAACAAACAAAACACCAACCCCACCACCCCTAACGAACAGCACAGGTTTTAGTGTATTGGGCAGTGGGCTTCTTATTATTATTACTCTTGATAAGGCAATCAAAGTACAGTTTTTTAAATAAGGAATTGGCTTCTAAGAATATTAGTCTGGGCTGTGGACATGGCTCAGGGAGAAAAGCGTTTGCTGCCCAGGCTAGATGACCAGATTCAGCTCTTCAGAACCCATGTAAAGCCAGATGCATAGTGTGAGCTTTTATTCTCATGCTCCTATGGAAGGCAGAGAGAAGAAAGTGCTGTGGGGCCGAGCAGTGAAGAAACGGCTGGTATGACCTCTCTACTAGGGGAAAGGCTTTTACTGCGTGTAAGAGCGAGAAGATATCCAGGGGCATCTGGAGAGTCCAGAGCAGAGAGAAAAGAAAGCAGACTGGACAGGGCCAGGGCTAGGGAAGCAGGAGTGTGGGGAGGAGGGACAGGAGACACCAAGAGAGCGGAATCTAGTGCAAGGGTGGGGTGGATTATAAGTCACTGTGGGGAGGGACTCCTTTTAGGGACAAGCTCCTGAGGAATGCTAACTTTTATCTAACGTCCAGAAATCCTGGGCTCCAGCTTGAGCTCATTTCTAGACATAAGGGGAGGGAGGTGGGGCTTATCCTGGAGGGTGGAAGGTCAGCCAGTGTGTCCTGCGCAGTGGGGAGCAGCAGAGAAATGGCTCAAACCAGGTGGAAGGTGAGGACTAACCCTGAGATTGTCCTCCGAGTCCCTCAAGTGCCGGCTCACGGGCACATATGTGTGTGCTCTCATACGCATGGACACATGCGCGTGCACCCCTTTCCCCCTTAGAATTCTAGCTTTGCCTTGTTACTTTTCTGAACACGGTGTATCTTCGTAGGTGTATCTGGCTCCTGAGCTTCAGAATGGTTATTGATGGGGCGTGGTACATGAATATCATCGTTCTTCCAGGCAGATGTGTTTCTGCTTTCACTTACAGAGTCCTTTCTCTCCCCCTTCTGTAGATTCGACGGAGGCGCCTGGCACGACTTGCTGGTGGACAGACCTCCCAGCCGACCACCCCGCTTACGTCTCCCCAGAGGGAGAACCCTCCGGGACCTCCAATAGCTGCGTCAGCCCCAGGCCCCTCCCAGAGCCTCGGCCTCAATGTCCACAGCATGACCCCAGCTACCTCCCCCATAGGCGCAGCAGGTGAGCCCCGCCGTGAAGCCGCTGCGCTTCTGGTCTCATCGTCTGCATGTGGCCACAAGATTAAAGCAGTCGGGAGCCTAAAGGTCACTGTGGTGGTTCACTCTTGTCTGTTCACTTGATAGTGACTGGTGAAGATGGTCTGCAACCGTCTCCTTCCCCTTCTCCAGCTCTTTCCAGCCAGGCTCAGGTCTGGCCGTGGGAGGTGGCGAAGAGTGCCCCGAGTCTGCTGGTCTCATGAATTTGGTTGATGCTTCTCTCCCTTAGAGAGGGCCTGCTGGGTAAAGTGCCTCCTGCACGAGCGTGAGGGCCCAAATTCTGGTCCCCATGTAAGACCTGGGCTCTAGCCAATAGGTGTATGAGTTTAAGGTTCAGTGGAGGAAATGCAGTGTTTATGGAGGAACACACGAGGGTATGCACACACACACACACACACACACACACACACATCACACACACACACACAGGAAGATTAAAATCATGGTTACAGATTCCTTCCTTGTCTTTGGGCTACATTGGCACAGAATTTTTTTCTCTGAATTACGCTGGATACCAGGAATGCTCTGGATGGCAGAGCACTTGCCAGCATGTGTGAGGCTCTGGGTTCACTCTCCAGCACTGCCAGAATTCACCCTACCTCTATATTTGTAGCTGTCTGATCGGAAACTGCTTAACTCTGGTAGGAGTTCCTTTCTTTACAATAAACGAGCTTGATGATGATCAGGGTTGTCTTCCTTAAGAAATGGTGCTGTCTGCTCACGTGCACCTGAAAATACCTCTCCAAATGATTTTTCTATCAGACATGGTAATCCCATAATTGTTATTTATGGAAAGGTGCTGTGAGAGCCATGTGTGTCATATAGAGTAATTTGATGTATGACTGTTAACTCCAGTTCTGTGTACTCTGCTGTAGCCATCCAAACAGTCCTTCTTTCTCTTCTCAGCTAAAGGCGTTTGCAGTTTCTCTTGCCTTAGGTCATTAAACCTTGGTGTGGGCTGTGTGGAGGAGTGCCTGCCTATCACCCTTTAGTGACAACAGAAATTCAGACCAGCATCAGTTGTTGGGAAACAGCAGCCTTGTGAGGCATGGTGCGAGGGGCCGTGTCAGGTCTCTGTTAGAGTTCGTGTTCAGGGTTTGGGGGTGTTAGAGTTCCTGTTCAGGGTTTGGGGGTGTTAGTGTTCGTGTTCAGGGTTTGGGGGTGTTAGAGTTCATGTTCAGGGTTTTGGGGGGGTGGAGTTTGTCCTCTCCTTGGGAAGCATGCTCACAGCTGTGCTGTTTCCTTGCTGTGATAGGACCTTCCCTGCAGCTCTGGAATTTGCGCAGCGCAAAGCTCTCTCATTTTGTGTTTCTTACTTGGTTGCATCAGGGTTCTGCCTCTGTCCATTTCCCACCTGCTGTTTGTCTCCTGTGCTGGATCCAGACTGGAGAAGAGCTTACACGGCCATATCTGTCAGTCCCATTTCAAGTCCATGATCACAAATTCAAGTAGACCCCAGTCATCCAGGCCGCCATGCCATGTCTCCCCATCTGCTTTCCTACTCTGCTCCCAAGCGTGCAGCACCCCATTCTCCACGCACACTCTCCGTGCCTGCACTTCCGATGCCGTTTCCTCTCATGGTGGAAACTGTGCCTCACTCCCACAGCCCCCCTTTCCTCCTGCCTCGTGAGGTTCTCCACCCCGGGTGAACTGGTTAACCATGCTGCGAAGTTGCTTTCTACAGTGTGGCCCGGTGCTGCGCTTCTCCCTTGGTGACGCAGGGAAAAGAGCTCCCTTCATGCCATTTCCTCTGCAGTTCCCACCCTTCTCTCCCCAGCAAGACCCCCCCCTCCCCCGGGACAAGGCCTTCGCCCTGTCTTCTGCCCTTGCACCCTGTGCTGAGCTGAATGAGCTTGGGTGGGCGTGCTGCCCTGAGTTTGTTTCTCTCTGGTGGCTTCCACCCTCTCCTGATGAAACCCTTTTAGCCTCCAGAACACAGTCTTGTCCTGGCTCCCATCCTCTCTGATCCTCCCTAATGTCTGCACGGCAGCACGCCAGGGTTCAATGTTTAAACTCTTGCTCTCTTTATCTGTGTTTATTCTCTTATTGATTTCATCTAATTTCCTGGCTTTAATTATTCCTTCCAATTTGATAACTCCTTAGTTGACATTTCCATCCAGACCTGTACCTTGGACTTTAGACTCACAGTCTCATGACCCATTTGACTTTAGTTGCACGTCCAGTCGGCACCTCACAGTTAAGGTCTTAAAAATAAAGTGTGCTCGTGTGCGCGCATGCTGCGAGCAGGTGTACGTGCACAAGCCTGTTCTGGGGTCCCAGAGGTGGATGTCGGTGTTTCATCTGCTCACGCGCCACCTTGTTTCTATTTTCTGAGACAATCTCTTAGTGACCCCAGAGCTTGCTGATTTGGCCAGACTGCCTCCAGCCAGAGCCTGAGCTGGCTCTGTCTCCGCAGCAGTGGGATTACAGTTGTGCTCGGCTACATGTAGCTTTTATGTCGGTGCTGGAGATCTGAACTCAGGTTCTAGGGCATGCACGGCAAGCACTTTCCTTACTGAGCCGTTTTCCCGGCCCCAAGCTTCTGGGGGCTGCTGAGAAGACTTACAAGTAAATGTGCTTGCTGAGCAAACTTGGTGATGTGAGGTCAAACTCGAGAACCCGAGTAAAATTGAAAGGCAAGAACTGTCTCCACGGCCTCCACACACATGTATGCTGTGTGGGTGTATGAGGCCCTCCTCCCAATAATAATGAATTAAAATTAAAATAAGTTTTGCTATTTCCTCATGTCTGTCCCAGGCCTACACTCGCTGCACATGACTCCCAAACCCTGTCTTAGAAAACCAAGATCAGGGCTGGCCAGATGGGTCAGCAATTAAAGGGGCTCGCTGCCAAGCCTGGTGACCTGAACTTAGTGCCCTGCACCTACAGGGTGGCAGGAAAGCACCAAGGTGTCCTTTGACCTGCTCTGGGGGGTCTCTCTCTCTCTCTCTCTCTCTCTCTGTAGCAGCCCCCCGAATAAATAAAGTGATTTTTTTAAAAAGAAGGAATGAAACCCAAACTAAGCAAACAGCATTTTTAGTGTCCCATTTTAGAAAAGTGGCCTTTGGCCAGTGTCTAAAATTGGTAGCATAGGCACCATTGGTCTGAGTTCTTGCCACCATTGTGCTGGCCTCAATTGGGGTCCACCTGCTTTTACCTCCTTACTACCCCTGACGGGACCATGCCTGGTGGTATGTCTCCCCTGGTGGGGTGGCAACCTCAGATCTGGGTCGGGAGTGTGTGCTGGTTTTGCTCCTTCCTGTGTTCCCGTTGCTATCTCCAGTACCCACACAGGCCTTAAGATAGGTGAATCATTGAATGAATCCCGAAGAGAAACTGATCAGAACAGCGTGTGACTATGTAGATGTTTCAGGAAATTATGACAGCTGCCATTTTAAAATGAAGAGTTTCCAGGTATGCTGGCACATGCCTTCAATCCCCACACTTGGAAGGCAGGAGCAGGTAGATCTCTATGAATTCAAGGCCAGCCTACCCTACGTAGTGAGTTCAAGGTCAACCTAGGCTACATAGTAAGACCCTGTCCCAAATAAATAAGTATAAAATAAAAAAGAAAAGCTATGGGCTGTCAAGATGGCTCGGTTGATAAAAGCACTTGTTGATAATCCTGACAACCTGAGTTCAGTCCTTGGAACTCACCATGGAAAGAGAAAACCACTTCCCTCTCATACACACACTCACCCTCACACACACACTCACCCTCACACACACACTCACCCTCACACCCACCCACGAACACCTACATACACCCCCCCCCATACTTACACATATACTCTGTCACACACACAGGTGAATAAATAGATAAATATTAAAGCTAAAAATGAGAAGTTAAAAGAGGCTGAGGCAGGAGGATCATGAGGTCAAAGCCAACCTGGACTGCGTTGTGAGACCATCTCAGAAAGAAAAAAGGAAGGAACGTTGCCGTATGGAAGGTTCATTTTCAGCCAACCTGAAAGTTGGTGTATCGCCAGAGGGTAGATGTACTTCGTACTGCCCATCGGCCGTGACGGAGATATTTGTGTTTCAGACTGGAGAAATGTGGCATTGAGCACAGGCCTGGCGTGCACTAGGCCCTCTGCATTTCAGACACCGCACGTGCAAACAGCAACCACAGAATGTTCCCTTTGCTTGCTGCAGCTGCAGACAAGAAGTGTGCACGCACTCTCTCTCTCCCGTCCCTCTCTAATGTTCATTTATGTAAGATTTTGTTGATTGAAACAGGGTTTTGCTAGATAGTCCTGGTTAGCCTAGAACTTACAGTGTAGATCAGGCTGGCCTTGAATGGACAGAGAGCCTTCTGCCTCCAGAGTGCTGGATTAAAGGTGTGGATATGTCACCACACCTGACTAGATTTATCTCATTTTAAATCATGTATGTATGTGTGCCTGTGTGTGAATATATACACATGTTGCAGATGCTCAGAGAGGTTGGAAGAGGGCATTGGGCCCCGGGGAGCTGGAGTTGGAGTTGGTTGGGCGCTGCCCCACATGGTGCTGGGAACTAGACCCTGGACCTCTGTAAGAGCAGCAGTGTTTTTAACACTGAGCCGTCTCTCCAGCTCCTTGTCATCTTTATCTCCTTGTTCCAAGACCCATTCTAGCGCAGTCCTAGTCCTCACTCAGGAAAAGCCCCCAGTTGTTTGCTGGACAGAAGGAGAGCAATGAATGTTTTTTGTCTCAAGTGTTAGAAGCAAAGGAATCAGTGAGTTTGATGAAGGTTCTGCTTTTCCTGAAACCATCAAGTCTCTAAAGAGAACTTTATAACCTCTGTGCTGTTCTGTTCCTTCTAAACTTAAAAAAAAAAAAAAAAAAAAAGTCAAAATACTTGTGATGGACATGGAACCGATACCCGTGGACCCCACTGGGGAGGACCTGGTGCTCCTTCCCCCTCCTCCGTGGGCCCCGAAGCCTGACTTGTGCTGAGCTGCTCTTTTGACCTTACAGTGCTTCCTCTCAGGGAGCAGTGCGTTCATTTGGAAACGAGCAGACGGTTGCATGGGGGCATGTGTGCTGTGGGGGATTGTGGTCTTGTCTGCGGAGGCAGAGGACCGGTCACAGGTAAAGTAAGAGAGTTGTGTAAGTTGTTTTGAATTACCATTGGCCGCAAGGAGCGATAACAAGGGAGGCCTTGGTGCAAGGTTGGTTGAGTGGTTGCTAGGCAGCTGTCCTCATGGAAAGGTTGTCGTGGCCTTTGAGCAAGGACATGGTGTTCGGTCTCTCACTGGGTTGTGCTAGGGCGTGAGTGTGTAGGAGTGCCTCCTCCATGACCTTCTGGCTTCATGTTGATTTGAGTTAGACCGGAAAGACTCACAGTTACATGATGCTGCTTTTAATTTTCTTTTAGACTTTTAAGGGTCTTTCTGTGTATAGGCTTTCTTAAACTCGAGACACTCTTGCCTCTGCCTCCTGAGGGCTGGGATCCTAGCAGACACCATCCTCTGTGGCCTCAGAGATCTCGATCTTTCCTATAAAAGAGGGTGAATGGATGATTGGATGATCTTTAAGGTTAGCCCACTGCCCCCATCTTCTTTCATAAAAATATTCTTTTATTTTATGTGTGGGGGTGTTTTATTTGCATGCATGTCTGTGTACCATGTGGATGCCTGGTACCTATGGAGGCCAGAAGAGAGCATCAAACCCCCTGGAACTGGAGTCGAAGATGGTTGTGAGCTGCCTTGGCTTGTAAGATCCTTTAACCTCTGGAACAGAGTTATTAACCACGGAGCCATCTCTCTAGTCCCTTCCCTATCTTCTAAATTACCTTTTTTAATTTTACTTTGATTTTCGTGTTATGGTTTCTCTGTATATCCCTGGCTGTCCTGGAACTCTGTAGACTAGGCTGTCCTTGAACTCAGGACTCCACCTGACTGCCTCCCTGGCATTAAAGGCGTGCGCCACCACGTCTGACAGCGGTGTAAGTTTTTAGTGCCTGGCCTTTGGAAGATGGGAATAAAATCTCAAGTTTTGGGTCTCACTTTCCTGACTGAGGTCTCCAGCAGGAGGCGGGAGAGGGCGACGGCAGCACTCTGGCGCTTTGGGCGGCTGCTTTCATGGGTTGTTCTAGGTGAAATGAAGGGCCCAGGCTTGGTAAACCTTCAGAACAAGTAGATGGCTGCCGTGTTTAAGGACGGGAAGCAATGGGCACGTGGCTGTGGGGAGACTGGGGTGTGAGGACATTCGGAGCACAGGACAGAGCGAATTCAGATGGCTCACAGTTTGCCCTGGTGCTCCACTCCTGTCCTGGAGTGTGTCACAGCACAGCACACTGCCCTAAGTAAAGGCAGTCGATGGGTGGGTAGCGTGCACCGAGTCTGGGCAGAGTGAACACCAGGTGTCTCCTAAGTCCGCCTCGTCTTTACCGTGTGTCTTGCCTAACTTAGAGCTGGCCATTTTGGGTAGATGGGCCTCAGGCATCTTCCCCTCATCCCCTTTCCAGGCTGCCTTGCGGGTGTCTTTCACGTGGGCTAATTGCTTGTGCAGCAAGCGTGCTCCCAGCACCGACAACGTCTCAACCCACAGAGTTCAAAAAACAGTATCATGTAAATTGTGTAGTTAACTTTTTATTAGTCAATTTTAATTTAAAATTTGCCTTTTTTGTGAACCATAAAACAATCTTGCATGTTCTACTACTTTTTTACCCTAATAAGTAATGTATTGAGAGCTTACTTTGCTCTATATTTTCTTAAAATTTGGTTCATACCTCTTATGAATGAATGAGGTTAAGTCTTATTTCAGAACTCTGGTGTTAAATGCCCTGTATATTTTATGAGTCTTGTTAAGAATAGTGAATCATTTCCCATTTCTTTTGTGAATCTTGCTCTAGCTTTAATACATTGGCATGACTTTAAAGATGTGTCAAGGAATAAGTATGGTTTAGTGATATTCTAGTGAGGAGTCAGGAGAGGAGAGACAGGCAGGTTTTGTTTTGTTTTGTTTGTTCCTTTGGATGCTAAGATGGTTACCCACTTGCTAACTATTTCAGTGGCCAATGGTAATTTGTTTTTTTTTTTAAACATTTTTGTTCACTTTCCTTTTATGCACCAATATATATAAATATTCTAAATGACTGGCTAGTGATCGTCTTGAGTCCTTTGCTTTTTTTGTTGTTTTGTTTTGAAACAGGGCCACAGTTGGAACTGTTGGAACGTGGTGCTGAGTTCCTCCAGGCATCACTGTGGCTTCATTACTGACCTTAAGCCATGCACCGTGATAAATCATGGTCTGTTTGTGATACTCCCAGCTTTGTATGACAGGAATGCCCACTGCCAGGCATTAGGAGGGCAAGTGTGTTGCTGTTGCCTCTACTCTTGGGCTGGCATCGAGTCATGTGGCCTTTCTCTCTCTTGCCTTCCCTGTGTAGGAGTTGCCCACCGGAGCCAGAGCAGTGAAGGAGTCAGTTCTCTTAGCAGTTCGCCGTCCAACAGCCTTGAGACGCAATCTCAGTCCCTCTCCCGTTCCCAGAGCATGGATATTGACGGTGTCTCTTGTGAGAAAAGGTAAGCTGTATTACTGTTGTTTATAGGAAGGGAAGTCTTCGCCCGTTAGTCTCTAGGTGAGTAGTCTGAATGAGAGTCAAGAGAGCCATGTCTTTATCAAACTGAATCCAAATTTCTTGTGTAAGTTGAAAAGTGTTTCTGTTGTGAATGAACTGTTGTTTATATATTTGTCAGTGCTGGGTGTCTTTTATGAGCTGGAGGAGAGGTACCTCAGTATTAAGCAGGTACCACCTTTCCACAGAACCTGAGTTCTGTTTCCAAATGTCTTTTATTAGATGTAAGGTTTGGGTGAATTAAAAAAGAAAGAAAAAGAAAGAAAGAAAGAAAGAAAGAGAGAAAGAAAGAAAGAAAGAAAGAAAGAAAGGAAAGAAAGAAAAGCCCTCATAATAGACACGTGGTACATATGAATAAATCTCAGTGTGTAAACCATGATCCCAGTGTGTGAAACAGTAGTGAGAGACAGAAGTCACAAAGATCAGATGGCTCTGAGATACTGACCAGCCGTAACAGGTAAGCCAGAGACGGTGCCATCTCAGCCATCTCAGCTAGCTCCCTCAGGCCCTTTGTTTTAAGGCAGTGACTTATTTTGTATTCCAAGAGTGTAGTACCAGAGTCCATCTTTCCTTCCATACCTTATGCCCTACTGCTTCCTTAGTGTCACTACCCCTGGGCTTTGGGGCCTGTGTTGAGTGTAATAAGAGTTAATTGAAGTATGGCAGCACCTTGACCATAAGTTTGGTAACCAGGCTACCAAATGACTGATGAGCAGGTAATGTATGCTGTGCAGATAAGCCAGAGAAAGCGAGGATTCCCAGCCTGCACAGAGTGGAGCAATGGATTTCACCAGGCTATTAAACAGCACGTGGTTTAAAACTTTGGAATTGACTATTTCTGAAACTTTTGGTTTCATAGTATTGACTGAAGCCAGGTAAAGGTTTCGACTACAGTGTATCTTGTAACCCAATTCCAGTCACTAGGAGGAAGCATTCCATGATGATGCTGAGTTTATCAGTAGCTACAACCGTTCCAAATATGTACACACTTAGTAATACAACATCAGCATGTCATAAAAGCAGATGCTGACAGCACCAGGAGGCTTTCAAACATGTCTCTTTTGGCCAGAAATAGATGGAGAAAATGAACATGAGTAAGCATGCAGATTAAGTACCGCAGCCAGCGAGCGTGATATGATGGGAAATATATAATTACATACTCAACAGGCAGAAAGTTACCAGAGTCAGACACATAAAGGCTGTGTGTTTTGACTTGTATGTTAAGCCAGAAAATTAGCATAGAAGTCAACAAAATACCCTCATACATTTGAAAAATCCAAATACCTGTCAAGGAGAAATCAAATGGAAATTTGTAGGGATGTAGAATTAGAGCATGGCATTATGGCGCCAGAGTAAGACCTGGTGTCTGTGGGACAGAAATGAGTACCCCAAATACCACACATTTGTGAAAATGAGACATAGGACCTGATAGGATTCTTGTCAGTGTCAGAGCGATGAGTGTTTTAATACAGGTGCTGGACAGTCAATGCCGTGAGCAAGCTCTGCTTGCGCTCTGCAGTGTGTAAAAATAGCATGTCCTGAAGATCTGTTCTGCTGATTGCTTAGTTTTTGAAAGGTGAGCCCAAGGAAATGATACCTTGGGAAAAATGACTCCAGCCCGTGGGGTGAGCAGGATGCTCACCTGCAGTGTGTGAGGGGCTCTTGGATTTATGGAGGACAAGGAAAACCAACGTTATTTTGCTTTCCTGACCAATGTTGATTGATTTAAAGTTCGGCGCAGCTTTGATGCTGGAGTTTTAGAAAAGATGAAGCATTTGTTTCTCTTTTGTGCTTAAAGCATGTCCCAGGTGGATGTGGATTCAGGAATCGAAAATATGGAAGTGGATGAGAATGACCGAAGAGAAAAACGGAGCCTGAGCGACAAGGTCAGTAAGGAGGATGTGGCGGCGCCTTGCTCCTCAGTGCTGGTGAGCTCACTGCCTTGCTGCTGCCTGCAGGCCTGTGTGTAGGGTGGGGTTTTCCTTGTGAAGAATGCTGAGCCTTATCCTCCCCCTCCCCCGGTTTCTCACTATGTAGTTCAAGCGGTCACGGAACTGGCAATCCACCTGTCTTAGCCTTCCAAGGGCTGGAATTAAAGGTGCACACCACCCATCCCAGCTTTAGGCTTTCTTCTTAGCAGCGGTGCAACTCAGCTCTTTCCTACAATAGAATCCCTCATTCTACTTCGCTTAGGTCCATGTTTTTTTGGTAGGTTGGTTGGTTTGGGGTTTTTTTTTTTTGGAGACAGACTCTTACTGTATGATGGTGACTGGCCTGGAACTCCCTATGTAGACCAGGCTGCTCACTGATCTGTCTGGCTGTTTGTTCAGTTTGATAATTAAAGATGTGTGCCACCATGACTGGCTAGGTCCCATCATATCACTGGCTTTATTCTGAAGTAACTAAAGCAAGGGCATGTAAAGTCACCAGCAAGTAAACACTTGGTAAGGCCTTTCTGTTTGTGTCCATACGAGCTTTTTTCCCTGTGCTTGAGTGGCTTGGGTTTGCATGTCATGAGTGACATAGGTTAGCATACCATGGTCCATATAGGAAGTTTACAAAAATCTTTGGTGACATGCTGGTGGTTGTTAGAAGTTGACTGTAGCCTCCTTGTGGTGCAGTCTTTATTCCTGTAGTTATTTATGTATGTACAGATAATGTATCTGTCATGAAATCTAGTGAGAAGTGTTACAGGTTGTAAAAATCCTAGAAGGGAAGTAGTTGTATACCAAGAACATAACCCTGGTTCTTTAGCATTCACAATAGTGAGTAGATAGCATCCTGGGCCTTTTTCTTGTGATTCTTGATCTTTTAGGCTCTCCCATGAATGATGACATCAGCTTAATGAGACATTGATTTTGTAACTTACTTTCCTGTCCACAGATGTAACTCACATGTAACTCTGGATGGCTTGAAACTTGCCTTGTGTAGACCAGGCTGGCCTTGTGTTCATAGTGCCACCTGCCCAGCTGAATGCTTTTATGCACTTAAAATATCCTGGTTAATAAATGAATTAAGTTGGAATAAAATGCCTTAACTCGTGTCTCCTACTGTAGGTTAACTCTCACGTCTTCCCCTCCAGGAGCCGCCTTCAGGTCCTGAAGTGTCTGAAGAGCAGGCCTTACAGCTGGTCTGTAAGATCTTCCGCGTCTCTTGGAAGGACCGGGACAGAGATGTCATCTTCCTTTCTTCTCTTTCTGCACAGTTTAAACAGAACCCAAAAGAAGGTGGGGCTCTGCCAGCACCTGCATGCAGGCTCTGAGCTTGGCCATCTCTGTCTTCTCACTAAGGGATTGCAGCTGTGTGCTCACTTTCTTCCCTTTCCACTGAGCTTATTGCTGAATGATTTTTTAGTGTGTTTTTGCTTATGTATAAGTTGAAGGGCATGTGTGTGTTGTGCACGTCTGTGTGCTCAGTACTTCTGGAGGCCAGAAGAGAGCATCGGATCCATCCCTGGAGTTGGAGTGTCAGATGGTTGTGAGACACCCAGAGTGAATACTGGGAACCAAGCATGGGCCGTGTAGACGAGCAGCAAGCTCTCTAACTGCTGAGCCATCTCTCTTTCACAGAAGGAAACTAAATACATGAATAGTTTTCACTGTGTGGGGCTGAAGCTTTTCCCTCATGGTGGAAGACTCTTTGAGAGGGCATCAGCTCCCATGGAGTAGAAGCGTGCTGGGTGGGCCCCTCAACTCAGACAGCCACCCGCTTTGTGTCTGTAGCGAGCTCACCTCAGCTGCAGTGGAGAGAGCTTCTTTTCACAGGTCATTTGTTGTTTAGGCTCTAAGTGCTTACTAAGCGATAGTAGACAGTCATGTGAAATCTTTTTATTAAATTACTTAACAGAATGGATTATAATTACATTTTGTTGTTTTCCTAGGATTACCTTTAAGAGATTAGCTATGCTGAACTAAACCTAAAATAGTAAAATGTTTTTCAAGACACAGTATCACTGAGCACGGTGGCTTTCTATTCACTTTTAATTACTTGCAGTAGAGCTGGACAGGGTGCTGCAGGGTTTTGCTTTGTTTCACATGTCACTGGAATATAACACACTGTTTTGACTATGGGATTTTTTTTTTCCTTTTAGTTCGTTGATGTATGTCACTGTTCTTTAGAAAGGCGTTTTGTGTAAGATGGGTTTTCAGTGAGGCAGTCAGTGTTCCTGTGGTTACTGTTCTGTTCATCCTGTCTTCTTAGGGTGTGGAAGTTCTGTGTTCCCGGGGTGGGCAGGTTTCTGATGTGATAGCCTCTTAGAACTTCTAGAGGTGCAGAGTTGAGCGGCCTTAGCTTTTAAAGACTTGCCATGACAGAGGTACTCATGCTCTCAGCTCTGAGGGTCTCATAACTCTCTTTACACATCGGTGCTAATCTTTAAAACTCTTAACTGGGGAAACTGACATGGATCAGGGCTTTGATTTAGTGATATCTAGAATGTATCAAAACAGCAACAGCAAATCAACTAGTAACTAATAAGAAGGAAACTAGACTATAGAATCTGCTTTAGAAACCAGATGGCGACTCCTACAGACCCTCTCATAGAACCTTGGAGCCTTGCCGCATTTGTTGTACTATAGTAAGGGCGACTCCCGCAGGGAGTGGCCCTTTTTACAGTTAGTGTTTATCAGTGAGAGCTCCCTGACTGCGCTCTAACGTGGTTTAAACAAAACTTAGTTTGGGCATAGACGCATATTTACAGAAAAAAGTAAGGAAAGTTCACAGAGCGTATGCCTAAGCTTCACTCAGTTTCCTCTGATGTAACTTCTTGTACAGTTGTGGTCTGTTTACCCAAACTCAGAAATTAGTGTGGGCTGAGCCAGGGAGATGGCCCAGTAGGCAGAGGCGCTTGCTCCTAGGCCTGGTAGCCCGAGTGCTATCCCCAGAACCCACATGGCAGGTCTAGGGTCTCCTGAAAGTTGTCCTCTGACCCCTACATGGGCACACATGTGCATATACACACACAGACACAAATAAATGTAAAATAATTTTTAAAAGAAAAAGAAGTTACTGGGGAAAACACCATAGATTTTTGGGGTTTTCCGTGAGTATGCTTTCACTGTTGAGAATCCAGTCCAGAGCACACCACACAGAATCACTCTGGCTCTTTTGGCTTATTAGAGGACCGTGGAAATGAAGACCCGTGAATAACCTGCTTTTTACTCTGCTTTCCCAACAGTGTTCTCTGATTTTAAGGATCTGATTGGCCAGATTTTAATGGAAGTGCTGATGATGTCCACCCAGACCCGAGATGAAAACCCATTTGCCAGTCTGACAGCCACGTCCCAGCCTATTGCCACAGCAGCTCGGTCGCCAGACAGGAGTCTCGTGCTGAACACTGGCACCGGTTCGGGAACAAGCCCCATGTTCTGCAGCTTGGGCTCCTTTGGCACCGGCTCCTTGTCTAGGTCAGCGTGCTTCCCTTTGCTCACCTCACTGGTAGTAAACCTCTGTGAAGGATGTTGAGGAGGGCCAATTCACAGTGTTGATCTGTAGCATGGACACATTTAGGTGGGGAGAGGGTGGATGTGGCCATTGGAGGTGGTGTTACCCTTTCTTGGTTGTATTTCTTAGTTTTCTGTGGTTACGTTGTCAGTAGGTTAAATTTTAGGCACTCATGACTGCCTGTGCTGCATTATTCTTTGAAAGGGGTCATCTCCATGAATGTGGTTAGATTCTGGTCATTTTAAAAATGCTTATCTATTTCAATTCCTAGTGTTTGTAATATAATTTTGCTATCCTTTAAAAGCTGACTTTTATCTATTTTTAGTTATCTTAAGCTTTTCTTTGATTTTTTTTTTTCTTCTTTCTTCCCTCTCTCAACTAATTCAGCCTCTATGAAACTAGCCCTGCCCCCTCTGCCAGTTCGTGGAGTTTTGTGCCAGTGCTGAGTCCATCCTTTGCCTCAGCATCCCACGCAGCCCCTCAGGCCCCTGCACCTTCCCCATCCTTCAGCCCTCACATCACAACCCCCCAGGCTCCTGTACCTTCCCCATCC